AAAAAGATCCCTGCACTTGTATGTTTATTGCAGCAGTATTCACAACAGCAAAGATAAGGAATCAGTGTACGTGTCCATCAATGAACAGATTTTTTAAAATGTGGTGTGTATATATACGCGCACACACACACACATACAAATAAGCAGCAGAATACTATTCAGCCATAAAAAAGAGGGAAATCATGTCTTTTGCAACAACCTGGATAGGACCGGGGTCCATTAGGATTAAGTGAAACAACTCAGAAACAAAAAGTCAAATACTGTGTGTTCTCATTTATACGTGGAAGGTAAAAAATGAGTACACGTGGACATAGAGTGTGGAATAATAGATACTGGAGACCCAGAGGGTGGGAGGGAAGTTTGAGATGAGAAGTTTCTTAATGGGTACAATGCGCATTATTCCCATGATGGTAACACACACACACACACACACACACACAAACAAACCCAGACTTCACCATTATGTAATATATGCATGTAAGAAAACTACACTTATACTCCTTAAATTTGTATACATTTTTTTAAATAAATACTTATTTAAGACAATCTATTAAATCTTGGTAAGAATAATCAGCATCTATGGCATCTCAGTCACAAGCTATTCCCATCCTGTCCCCTCCCAACTCAGTTGTCTGAATCTCCACTCTAGACAGGCATAGTAAAAAACACACAGTTTCCTCTCACCCTTGCTCAGTATAGGGCTACATATTCACCCACAGAGGGGCAGGCCCCTAGCTTCATATTGTGGAGGCTCTATTCCAGGAAGACAGAGCTAAAAGACTGGGGCTTCCTTCCCCCAGTCAGCCCCAACTTGTAGAGCACAAGGTGTGGCAGGCCAAGAATAGGAGACCCAATTGCCCATACCCCAATTCACTCAAACAGCAAATGTTCTACAATAGAAGAGGCAAGGTGAGATGATCAGGGGCTACCATGCCCAGTCAGCACCCTACTTGCAAAGTAGGGGTATCATTCTGGCAGAAAGCAGATTATAGTCTCTATCACAAGCTCCACTACAGTTGTGCAAGATCATGCTGAGAGGGAGAGGTCTTATGAATAGAGAGTTCAAAAGTTCTACCCAAGGAGACTGACTTTATCTGGAATAAGGCATGAGGAAATTCACGGCTAAGGACATTGTCAAAAACAATGGAAATCTGGAGAGTGATCAGCTAAGAGAATGGTAATTTTATAAGACTGGTAGCAACAAGCAAAATAGTAGATCAGCTAGCAAAAAAAATCAAACAAAGAGACAGCTAAGAGCCCTTTGGGAGTCCGAGAACACCCCAAAGACTGGCAAAATCCTAATCGTGCTAAGAGGTCCAACTTTAATTTAGACTATGTCACAATGTATGTGCTACATTACTGGTAAAACAAAAACAAAAACAAAAACAAAAACAAAAAAGAAAAGGAAAAACTAGGTAGCAATTAGTGAATTAGCAGAGGCTAAAAATTGAGTGAGATATCAACAGAATTAGACCAACCAAAGCTTAATGAGATCAGCGAACTAGACAATCAAAGAGAACCCAGTTAAAGCTCTAGTTAACCCAGATAGCAACAGAGACTGCACACCTGATGGAGAAGTGATATCAGTGGCTACGCACTGCAGGGAAAATAGGTTTCACTGAACTATTACAGCCAGCCAATTCGCTAAACTACTAAAAACACCCAAGACAGAAAAACCCAAAAGGTGGAGAACGAATCAGTATTCAAAGTTATACAAAAATTAGCTAAAATGTCCAATCTCAAAAAAAGTTATAAGACATACAAGGAAATAGGAAAGTGTGACTTATACAAATGAAAAAGAGGATACAATAGAAAACAGCCTTTTGAATGGGCCTACATGTCAAACGTAGGAGACAAAGATTTCAAATCAGCTAGTATAAATATATTCAAAAAACTAAAGAAAAACATTTTTTAAAATGTACGTAAGATAATCTCTCATCTAATAGCGATATCAGTAAAGAGACGGAAATTATTTTTGAAAAACAAAAATTCTGGAATCGAAAAGTATAATAACCACAATAAAAAGCTCACTTGAGGCCGGGCACGGTGGCTCACGCCTGTAATCGCAGCACTTTGGGAGGCCAAGGTGAATGGATCATGAGGTCAGGAGATCAAGGCTATCCTGGCCAACATGGTGAAACCCCATCTCTACTAAATACAAAAAATTAGCAGGGTGTGGTGGCACGCACCTTTAGTCCCAGCTACTCTGGAGGCTGAGGCAGGGGAATCACTTGAACCTGGGAGGCAGAGGTCACAGTGAGCGAAGACCACGCCACTGCACTCCAGTGCACCCCAACCTGGTGACAAAAAAAAAAAAGAAACTCACTTGAAAGACCCAGTAGTGAAGTTTGAGTTGGCAGAAAAATCCACAAACTCGAAGATAATCAACAGATATGATGCAATCTGATGAAGAGAGAGATAAAATAAAGATAAACACTGACTCAGAGAAATGTAGTTTATTGACAGACATGTAAAGGTAAGAACAGAAGAAAAAGGAGAGAAAGAAGAGAAAAATATTGAAATAATAGCTAAAAACTTCTAAATTTGAAAAAAAAAAAATTAGTGTACATATCCAAAGAAGGTCAATGAACTAGGCCTATGTTACAATGCTACAGTCTTTATGAGTAGAGTAAGTATATTTTGAGTTCATTCAGACTCCTAGGGCTTAGCCCTCTGAGTATTCCAATTGTAAAATATTTACCAGAGCTCTTCCTCTTCAGTGGGCCTATAAGCTCTGCTTATGAATCAGAAAACATCTCAGGAGAAAAGTAGTGCCAAATGTCAGAATTGCCACTCTGTACTTGCCTCCCAAACAAAACAAAATACTTGAACCCTCTTGTCCTTGCTGCCTAGAGATAACGCTCTGAATCCTTCAAACATACATATATATAATTTTTTTTTTTTTTTTTTTTTTTTTTTTTTTTTTGAGACGGAGTCTTGCTCTGTCGCCCAGGCTGGAGTGCAGTGGCCGGATCTCAGCTCACTGCCAGCTCCACCTCCCGGGTCCACGCCATTCTCCTGCCTCAGCCTCCCGAATAGCTGGGACTACAGGTGCCCGCCACCTCGCCCAGCTAGTTTTTTTCTTTGTATTTTTTAGTAGAGACGGGTTTCACCGTGTTAGCCAGTATGGTCTCGATCTCCTGACCTCGTGATCCACCCGTCTCAGCCTCCCAAAGTGCTGGGATTACAGGCTTGAGCCACCGCGCCCGGCCAACATATTTTTTAAAATATGTCCTCACCAGCTTTTCTAAACTGTACGAGTATAAGGTTTACTCTACAAAACACTAGTCCATCACTCACAAAAGCAGAAACTGTTTCTCTTTCTTTAATGAGAATTGCAACAAGTTTGCCAAATTTATTTATCTTCTCTAAGGAAGACTAAACTATAGTCTAACATTTTATCATTATGGGTTCCCCCAAAATAAGATATTCTATGATACAAACACATTCTTCACCCAAGTAAAGTACTAGAAATTAAACATATTCAATGTACTTGAAAAAAACTTCCTAATGTTGACCATTGTTTATATTAGTGATATGTTACATATTAGCACTGTTTTCTTGGTGCATATGAATAAGTCAGTTTTACTTTTTAGAAAGATAATTTGTACTATTTGAATGTTCTGAAGAGCATAATAGACCTGTTGAATTTTGTCACTGTTTAAGGCTGAGTACAATCTCATTTCCTTATGCCCTTAGAGAGAACTACCTGAAAACAAATATCTAAAAATTTAATTTGCTACTTAAAATTATATGCTATCAAGTTAAAATCACTCTAAAGATAAGGAAACTATAAAGACTACAGGAATAACATGAACAGTTAAAATGGGCTTATTATAAACAATACTAACCCTCTTTCAATGGTATTTGAGGTAGACAAGCATTGAATAACTCTTAATTACTCAGATACTCAAGGAACATTACCTCATTTGTTTAGTGCCACCCACTTTTCCATAGCAAGTCCTCAAATATTTATCTCCAAAGCTGTATTTTATCTTTCAAATTGCTTTAAATATTCAATACATCCATAGATAATAAAAAGTTATCATACTTCATATTTTCTGAGGAACTCAAGTTATATATCACACACACACACACATACACACACACACACATACACACACAAACCTGCACACAAAGCTAAGAATCACAAGGCCCCATTTAATTTTTTTTTTAAGAGATGAAGTCTTGCTCTTTCACCCAGACTGGAGTGAAGTGATGTGAACATGGCTCACTGCAGCTTTGGCCTCCCAGATTCCAGTGATTCTCCTGTCTCAGCCCTCTGTATTACTCCATTTTCACACTGCAGATAAAGACATACCCGAGACTGGGCAATTTAGAAAAGAAAGAGGTTTAAAGGACTTACAGTTCCACATGGCTGGGGAAGCCTCACCATCATAGCGGAAGATGAGAGGCACGTCTGACATGGTGGCAGACAAGAGAAAGGAGCTTGTCCAGGGAAACTCCGCATTACAAAACCATCAGATCTCATGAGACTTATTCATGATCATGAGACCAGCACAGGAAAAACCTGCCTCTGTGACTCAAATACCTCCCACTGGGTACGTCCCACAACACATGGGGATCCAAGATGACATCTGGGTGGGGACAGAGCCAAACAATATCATTCTGCCCCTGGCCCCTCCAAATCTCATGTCCTCACATGTCAAAACCAGTCATGCCTTCCCAACAGTCCCCCAAAGTCTCAACTCAAAAGTCCAAAGACCAAAGTCTCATCTGAGACAAGGCAAGTCTCTTCCGCCTATGAGCCTGTAAAAGCAAAAGGAAGTTAGTTACTTCCTAGACACAATGGGGGCCCAGACATTGAGTAAATACAGCCATTCCAAATGGGAGAAATTGGCCAAAACAAAGGGGCTACTGGCCCCATGCAAGTCTGAACTCCAACAGAGAAGTCAAATTTTAAAACTTCAAAATAGGAGCAATGAGAAGAAGAGGCGAGAATGATCCCCTGACCGACCAAAGTCCATGCACCACTGCATCCCGCGTCCAGCGCCTACGTCCCGCCGCCGTTGCCACTGTCACTATGCCCAAGAGAAAGGCTGAAGGGGATGCTAAAGGAGATAAAGCCAAGGTGAAGGACGAATCACAGAGGAGATCCACGAGGTTGTCTGCTAAACCTGCTCCTCCAAAGCCAGCACCCAAGCCTAAAAAGGCCCCTGCAAAGAAGGGAGAGAAAGTACCCAAAGGGAAAAAGGGAAAAGCTGATGCTGGCAAGGAGGGGAAAAGTCCTGCAGAAAATGGAGATGCCAAAACAGACCAGGCACAGAAAACTGAAGGTGCTGGAGATGCCAAGTGAAGTGTGTGCATTTTTGATAACTGTGTACTTTGGTGACTGCACAGTTTGAAATACTATTTTTTATCAAGTTTTATAAAACTGCAGAATTTTACTTTCTTTTTTAAGCTATGTTGTTAGCACACAGAACACTTCATTATTGGTTTTTGGGGGAAGGGGTATATGTCACTAATAGAATGTCTCCAAAGCTGCACTGATGTGGGGAAAACACCTTTCCCTTCTAGTTTTGAGAGACTTCCTCTTGGCTCCCAGGAGGAGGGATTCCCTGACTTTGACACACATAGCCACCTTGGCACAAAAGCCTTGTGCTACGGAAAAACAAATTCATTTCTATGTCCTCTTCTCCTTTTCCATCTTTCAGCATAGATTTAACTCCCTTAAGCCCAGACAGCTACTGGGACCTGACCCCTACTCATTGGTTACCAGTGTGTCAGGCAATCTGGACTTTCCAGTGATGCCGCTGAGATGGCACCTGTCAAAAGAGCAGTGGTTCCATTTCTAGATTGTGGAATTCAGACAAATTCTGCCACTTTTATTTCACTTCCTGAAAGTCAGGGTCGGCATGTGAAAAGTTGTTAAACAACACGCTAAATGTGAAATGTCAACCCTAACTCTGAACTTTCCCTGTTCATAGCATCAGATAAAGATTTCATTGGGTTTTATAGTGGCTTTCTGATTTTTGGTAGTCCATTGAAGAAGGGAGTTTGAAAGTTGTTGTATACTGTTAACGACTGTCTGCCCATGTCCTGCCTGAAATACCGTGATTGTTTATGAAAAGTATCTTTAATAAAGCTGGATCCAGTTTGGCTTGGAAAAAATAAACAAAAACTCCAAAAGGATCTCCTTTGATTCCATGTCTCACATCCAGGTCGTGCTGATGCAAGAGGTCAGCTCCCACGGCCTTGCGTAGCTCTGCCCCAGTGACTTTGTAGAGTAGAGCTCCCCTCATGGCTGCTCTCATGGACTGGCATAGAGTGTCTGGGGCTTTTCCGGGTACACAGCGCAAGCTGTTCATGGATCTACCATGCTGGGGTCTGGAGGACTGTGGCCCTCTTCTCACAGCTCCACTAGGCAGTGCCCCAGTAGGGACTATGTGCAGGGGTTCCGACCCCACATTTCCCTTCCACATTGCCCTGGCAGAGGTTCCCCACGATAGCCCCGCCTCTGCAGCAAGCACCCAGGCATTTCCATATATCCTCTGAAATCTAGGTGGAGGTTCCCAAACCTCAATTCTTGACTTCTCTGCACCCATACACTCAACACCACGTGGAAGCTGCCAAGGCTTGAGGCTTGCACCCTCTGAAGCCACATCCTGAGCTCTTAATTGGCCCCTTTCAGCCATGGCTGGAGCAGCTGAGATGCAGAGTCCCAAGTCCCTAGGCTGCACACCGCACGTGGACCCTGGGCCTGGCCCACGAAACCACTTTTTCCTCCTAGGCCACTGGGTCTGTGATGGGAGGGGCTACTGCAAAAGTCTCTGATATGCCCTGGAGACATTTTCCCCATTGTTTTAGAGGTTAATATTCACTCCTCATTACTTATGCAAATTTCTGCAGCCAGCTTGAATTTCTCCTCAGAAAATGGGATTTTCTTTCCTATTGCATTGTCAGCCTACAAATTCTCCAAACTTTTATGCTCTGCTTCCCTTATAAAACTGAATGCCTTTAACAGCACCCAAGTCACCTCTTGAATGCTTTGCTGCTTAAAAATTTTTTCTGACAGATATCCTAAAACATCTCTCTCGAATTCAAAGTTCCACAAATCTCAAGGGGAGGAGCAATATGCCACCTGTCTCTTTGCTAAAACTTAACAACAGTCACCTTTACTCCTGTTCCCAACAAGTTGCTCGTTTCCATCTGGGACCACTTCAGCCTAGACTTTATAGTCCATAATGCTATCAGCATTTTGGGCAAAGCCATTCAACAAGTCTATAGAAAGTTCCAAACTCTCCCACATTTTCCCGTATTCTTTTGAGTCTTCCAAACTGTTCCAACCCCTTCCTGTCACCCAGTTCCAAAGTCACTTCAACATTTTTGTGTATCTACAGCAGCTCTCCACAGCTGGTACCAATTTGCTGTATTATTCTGTTTTCATGCTGCTGATAAAGATACACCCGAGACTGGGCAATTTACAAAAGAAAGAGGTTTAATGGACTTACAGGTCCATGTGGCTGGGGGAGCTTCACAGTCATGGCATGTCTTACGTGGTGGCAGACAAGAGAAGAGAGATTGTGCAGGGAAACTCTGCTTTATAAAGCCATCAGATCTCATGAGACTTATTCACTATGATAAGAACAGTACAGGAAAGACCTGCCTCCATGATTCAATTACCTCCCACCTGGTCCCTCCCACAACAGTGGGGATTCAAGATTAGATTTGGGTGGGGACACAGCCAAACCATATCACCCCCCAAGTAACTGGTATTACAGGCACATGCTACCACGCCCAGCTATTTTTGTATTTTTTGTAGATATGGGGTTTCACTATGTTGCCCAGGCTGGTCTTGAATTTCTAAGCTCAGGAAATCCACCAGCCTTAGCCTCCCAAAGTACTGGGATTACAGGCGTGAGCCATCATGCCTGGCCCTATTTAATTTATATGTAAAAAACATAAGGCAGAAATTATTATGGTTTCAGAAAACAAAGAAACTTGAAAATAGATATCTTATTTCTAAACTGTTTTACTGACCACACTCAAATGACAAACTAATGTATTAGTAATAAATACAAACTAATTAGTAATTAGTAATAAATGCAAACTAATTTATTAGTAATACATTCAAGAAAAAATTAAAATATTCAGTCCACTTCTGCATTCTGACTTTGTAGAAGTATCCACACAACTCAAAGAGTTAAAGAAAACAGAAAAACTACTTTTCTTCATAATTCCAAAAATTCATTTTTTCATCCAGATGAAAGATCTGAGAATTAAACCAAGTCTTCTAATAGGTATAAAGGTTTATTTAGTTATAGAGTTTTTACTTGCAGAACATCTCGGCCGGGCATGGTGGCTCACACCTGCAATCCCAGCACTTTGGAAGGCTAAGGCAGGCGGATCACGATGTCAGGAGTTCGAGACCAGCCTGGCCAACATGGTGAAACCCCATCTCTACTAAAATTACAAAAATTAGTCAGGCCTGGTGGTACACGCCTGTAATCCCAGCTACTCAGGAAGCTGAAGTGGGAGACTCGCTTGAACCCAGGAGGCAGAGGCTGCAGTGAGCCTAGATCGCACTACTGTACTCCAGTCTGGGTGACAGAGCAAGATTCTGTCTCAAAATAAATAAATAAATAAATAAATAAATAAATAAATAAATAAATCTCTGCCAATAGTCATCTTTGTGAAAAATATGGAAGTATGGAGCACTTAGTAATCTGCCCACAAATCAAAGTAAATTTGGTTAATAACAGAAACAGACCTCCTTTCCACTAGATGCAATAACTTTATTAATAGCTTCTCTCTACAAAGTTGTGGCCAATGTTTGTTTTCTTTATAAGCTAATCTAGGTATTAAAAATTACTTCCTATTCAGGTAATAGCATATTTTACAATGCGCACTTAGATAAGGAAGAAATTAAGATTTTAAAAATGAAGTAGAATATGAAATTACAACCAGGGTAATTAAGGTCTCTAAGGTCTCTCTTTGGTCTCCAAAGAGGGTTGAATCTCATTATTAAAAGTAATATTGAAGCGGGCATTGTCATCGTACAGTAAAATGGTCAGCTCTGTGGAAGAAATGCATGAATCAAGAGTTTATACTAAAAGAATAGTAACAGAAACAGCCTTCCTTCTATTTGTATTGTACTAATCATAAAAATAAGGTATTATTGACTATCCTCTCTTTTCCACCATCCTCTTTTTTAAACAAATTAAAATCTCCCATTATAGTCTCAAGTTTCTGCTAATGAATTATCATGTCAGTTGTCACTCAATTATCACTTTCAACATTTAATCTAAATTATGTTCAGCACCTTGTTTTTTTCTTTCTTTGAAGTTCTTCCTTGAATTTAAAAGTCAAATATTTTTCAAGAAGAGTAAGTTGATGGAAGATGGAGGCAAAGATTAAATCAGGGGAAATCATTGATCAAGGATGCTTGGAATTCTTATGAATACAAATAGGCTATCAAGGTTAATGAGGTCCAACTTGAGTTTAGAAGAAGGGAAAAGTGTACTTAGTATTTTCTATGCATATACAGATTTAAGGTCTTAGGTACAATTTAAAAGGTAAATTATGCAAACTCAAATGTAGCTTCCTTCCATTATTTTTTTAAGAGCCATTTTTACTGTTTTTCTCTAATGTAAAACAACTGCTTGAAATACATACTCTGGATCAACAAAAACTAATGCAATTAGTAAGATATAGCAAAGGTCCCGTTAAATACTGACAAATCTTCCAGAAATGGATGTGCTTTTAAGAAATGACTAGATAGCAAATACTAGTTTTTAAAAAAACCATAAACTTTTTACAACATATTATTTCATTCAACAAATACTAATTAAGTACCTAGTATAGGTAAGACTGTGTGGGAACACACAAGGACACAGAGATAAAACTTGGTTCTTAACCCATTTATAATCTGAACAGGAATAGAAGCTTTAAATTCATAAGTGGCTCCCAGAATGCCACAACTCTGAATTATAACATCAGTGCATACTAGTAAGTGGCCCAGAGCAAAATCTGTGCACAGCAACATATCAAAAGAAAAATTAAACATAAGACTGAGCATCAGAGTGAAAGCACAGAAGATTACTGGAATGAAAAGAGATGTCAGTTCAACACACTCCAGGAATAAAGACATAGAATCTAGTTGAAGTAAACAGTATCTCTGGTTAGAAAGACTCTGTAAAAAGGGAGGTGGGAAGTTGAGAAGTTCTACTATAACTATGAACAAACAACCCTTAAGACATCATTATTCTCTGATTCTGTGTTCATTAAGCAATTTTTTGGTTACTAATTCTAAAGTCAGAAAATTAGGAGATTGGTGCCCTGCATAAGAGAATAATGTTTTCATATCTGTATAGGACTCCCACAGGGTAAACCAGTGAAGTGGTACTCTTTTGTATATTAGGTCAGTGCAAAAGTAATCTCGGTTTTTGCAATTACTTTTGCACTGACCTATACTTCTCTCTTCTGAGTTTCATTGTTAATATGAGCCAGTCTTCTGGGTCACACACAGAAGACTCAAGTTTCCAGATATGAGGACAAGACCTTGAAACATGATGTCTCCACCAAGGTAAGGGCACTAAAGTTCACTCTGTCTTGGTGACAGTGCAGCTGGCTTTTTTCTGAGTCTTCTTTTCTACTTTATTTTGGCCCACTTTGTATTTTTCTTTTTTTATTATTATTATTTTTAAGATGGCATCTCTGTCACCCATCCTGGAGTGCAGTGATGCAGTCTCGGCTCACTGCAACCTCCGCCCCCAGGTTCAAGCAATTCTCCTGCCTCAGCCTCCCAAGTAGCTAGGATTACAGGCACTTGCCACCACACCTGACTAATTTTTGTATCTTTAGTAGAGATGGGGTTTCACCATGTTGTCCAGGCTTGTCTCGAACTCCTGACCTCAGGTGATCCACCTGCCTTGGCCTCCCAAAGTTCTGGGATTACAGGCGTGAGCCACCATGCCTGGCCCCACTTTGAAATGTCTAACAAAACATACCCAGATTACTTCAAGAGACTGTGAGAAAGGTGCCATAAGTATATTAGTGATATGGACAAAAGGATTATTCAGAAAGAAGAACGATCACTTACAGCTGATATAATCCAAAAAGGCTTCATGGTGGAAAAAGTTTAGGATTTCCACAAAAAGAAAAGACATGCAAAGTTGTTCACAGAAACCATGAACAACTGGAACAAAGGAAAAAAACGGTGGAACTGGGTAGGGAAGTTTAAGAAAAAAGGAATTATTTGACAAGACCACGTATGAGGTTCTGTAGGAGAAGTGTTAGAAAATGAAGGTTAAAAAGAAAGACATTAATGATTGAATAAGTCATAAGAACTGTTACTATATATATATGTTCTTAGGCCTGACCAATGATCTCATTTTGTGCATCCTTTTTATTCATAGTTGGTCTCTGAAAAGCAACTAAAGAGTAATCTCTGTTTTTTAATAGAAGGTATAAGGCAACATCTTCATACTATCCAATATTCTCTAAAAATAAAGCAGAGACTAAATTTCAAGAAAAAATTTCAATTGTTAGAGGTTACAATTAAGTAATCTATGACCTAATATCTCACAAAGTCTGCATGAGACATCACTTTGAGAATAGCTTGGGAACAAAGATATTCAAATGGCCTCCAAAAGGTGCCATAAGAACATTAATGATACAGACAGCACACTTGTTCTACCTTAATAGTTCTTTTACAATGAAAAATAAAGCATAATCAGAAGTGTCACTAAATGAGAAACAGTTGCAAATTTAGTTAACTATTTTATTCTTCGAAACAAGAAAATCAGAAAAAATAAGACTAGTTAATGTTAATGTCTTACAGGGATAAACACTGTCTTTGTGATGTCCTTTGCAATGGCAACTGGAAAAAAAAAAAAAAAACTTTCATCCGTATTCTTAGAAGCAAGACAAACTCAAAGAACTTTCTGCATCATTTTTATTTTTATTTACTTATTTTTTAGAGACAGAGTCTTACTATATCGCCTAGGCTGGAATGCAGTGGCACAATCACAGCTCGCTGGAGCCTTGAACTCCTGGCTCAAGCAATCCTCTGACCTCATTCTCCTGAGTAGCCGAGACTACGGGCACAAGCCACTGCTCCCAGCCTGCATCAATTTTAGATCCACTGTGAGAAACAAGGAATCAGCTGCATTTGTGTTCTTTGCTTTGTTGCCAGCACCTAGAACACTGGCATGTAACAGGCAGTCAATAATATTTGATGTGTTGTAAAAACCTTTCTTCCAATTGTTTTTCACACCCAAACTCTATACAACCAAACCAAACTAACCCAAGAGGACTCAAATTCTTCCCCTAACCCATATGAAATTGAAAAAGAACTATTCAGTTAGGACAAGGAGAAAGCCAGGAATCTTGAATAAGAGCATTATTAGGCTATTATAAATAATTTTTTTAGTGCTCACATATTTGAGATTTTTTTCCAATTTATACCATGATGGCAAGTGAAAAGAAACAATATGAAGGAAGGAAAGAAGGGAGGGAGGACCAACGTGTGGTTATGAACATAAAGCAAAGGGATTTTTCTACCTTTTAGATCTAACCAGCATAGTTTTTTTTTTTTTTTTAAATACGTGACTTCAGCAAAATAATCATATTTTAGCATTTTCATCAGCAAGATCAAGGGCTAAAATAATACCCATGAAGAAAACTTTAAAAGTTGTATAATTACCATTGCTCTGAGACAATTTCAAGTAAGTCTTTATTAAACATGCAGAGGGCTTTGTAAAGAGTATGTCAATATTTCATTATCTTTACAATCTGAATCTTGAACTAAATTTAAAAGACATTTTCTACTGATGTGCTGACAAGATGAAAGAGAAATGCAGACAAGTAACATTAAATATTTCCTTTGGGTTACATAAAATTAGGTGCTTTTAACACCAATTTTCTACCTTTCATTTTAATTTTGGAAATACTTCAAATTAGAATACAACTTCACTCATAAAAACAGATACAGGGATGACTGATACATATCTATTTCCAAATGTGTCATCCATGTTTAATCTAATATAATTGTAATTTGAATTAAACCATTTCCTTTTATGAGGTCCTTTCCTTTGATTTTTAATATATACCAATAATTACCTCATCTATGCTAGATAAAAGCAGGAAATGGTAGCTGCCTAGTTATGCTTCATTCATGGTTACCACATCACCCATGATTGCTACACAACTCTACGTTAATGGAGGCATCGCAATTCCACCTCATGCACAACAACTAGAGGTCTGAAAACCTTTATGGTTCCAGAGAAGAATTATCAGTAACACCTTTTCACTATGCATTATGCAAGTTTCACCCACAAAATAAATAATAATTCACTGTCCTCTCAAAGAAAAAAGGTCCCTTCTGTCTGTACAAAGGGTTCAATTGCTATTAGAACAAAAATATTTTCAAATTTAAAAATAGTAAAGGATTTCTCTGTGAAATAATAAAGGAAAATAATCCAGGTTCCTAGCTTTGGGGTCCTGAATGAAAGAGAAATGAATACATAGGAATTTCTACATATAAGTAAATTAGCCATTAATGTAACTTTATATTATCAATGCTCAAACTAGAGTTCATAAAATAACACATCTTTATATTAAAATTTCATTACCCAATTCCATGAGATAAAATTAAAATACTTCAAATATGGCTTAAAAAGAGCAAAGTCACCTCTACTTGTGATGCCAAATGTGCTTTCTCCTTGTCTTTTCTTTCCATGCACCGTTTCACTTCCTCTAACTCAGATGCCATTGCACTGAAGTTCAGCTGCACTCTCAAATCTGACATTTGCTTCTCCAGGTCCTGTTTTTCCCGCTCAACCCCTTAAAAGACAAAACGGAAGGCTCAACAGTTGTTCTTTATTCACAGAAGAATGTACTTTCAAATAGTACTGAGACCTGATGTTTCAATATTCTAGCTATCATAATCCATTTACTGACACTGTTATTCAACAGACTTTGCCAGCCTGTTGTTTCAAGTTTTATAACTTTTAAAAACATATACATTGCTATATCATCAAATATTATTCCAGTTTGATACTAAAACTTAAAATGTTACCTGATTTCTACTGCAATTTATTTCAAGAAAATCATACACATTTTTAAATTTAATTTTCCTCACATCTCTACATTATCTCCAAACAGTAAAACAAAAATACAAAAAGAGTTTTCAACAAAGCCACTTCATCTACAAAATAATTTTCTTGCAACATAAACAACAAATAACGCTATTAAATCTCTGATTGTGCATGGCCAACCAATTTACTAATCCTTACTAATCTGGAGATTACTACCTGAAATTAATATACCATTTAACAATATAAGTTGACTTAGTATTTAAATCAACGTGAAATACTTGATGTATGATACACAGGGGACCTTCTTCTAATATAAGGACAAATAACATAAAAATTCATCCTCGATGAGATTACATCCTGATGTAATTTGGCTCTGTCCTCACCCAAATCTCATCTTGAATTGTAGCTCCCATAATTCTCACATGTTGTGGGAAGGACCAAATGGGAGGCAACTGAATTATGGGGGCAGCTCTTTCCCATGCTGTTCTCATGATAGTGAGTAAGTCCCATGAGATCTGAGGGTTTTATAAAGGAGAGTTCCCCTACACAAACTCTCTTCCCTGCCACCATGTAAGACATGCCTTTGCTTCTCCTTTGCCTTCCATCATGATTGTGAGGCCTCCCCAGTCATGTGGTACGATGAGTCCATTAAACCTCTTTCTTTTATAAATTAACTAGTCTCAAGTATGTCTTTATTAGCAGTATGAGAACAGACTAATACATATCCCAATAATAGAGACAAAATATAAATTACTTTATGGAATCTAAAATGTCAACAATTGAAACATGTACTGTCATTTAAAAACTACTTTCTTTCTAGTGGTTTCCTTTCCAGAAAAAAAAAAAAAAGAAGGGAATGAAAGAAGAAAACACTAACAAATTAAATTTATACATCATTCGTAAAATACATTCCAACTTCAGAATACTAGTGTTCAAAATTGTATATATTAGAAGGGAAAACATATGGGCATTTCAATAGGATGATAAGAGCATTGATAGATACATGTGGATTATACAGAAACAGTACAAACAGTAAAAGGGATTAGCTCTGTCTCAGTGACGAACTAAGGTAGGAAGAACTGAGAACTAAGTCAGACTTAAAGAATGAATACAAAATTTCACCAAGCAAAGGAGAAGGAGTTGGGGTGTTTTTAGGGAAAGCACGCACCGAGCATACAGGTACAAAACTGAATTTAACATTCAAGTAGCTGCACACACAGTAGTTTTAAGTAGCCAATACATCTCACATGTTATGAGGGTGGGAGGGAGTGTCAACAGAGTGTATGTGTTGCTAGGAAACTTAGAATTTGTCCTACAAACCAAGCATCAGCAAACATTTTCTATAAAGTATCATATAACAAATATCTCAGCTGTATGATTTCTGTCACAACTACTCAATTCAACCATTGTATTGCAAAAGTAGCCTAGACATTGCATAAATGAATGGGAGTAGCTGTGTTCCAATAAAGTTTATTTACAAAAACAGGTGGCAGTCTGGATTTGGCCCATGAACCCTACTTTCCCTACTTCTGATAGGTATCCAACCTGCAAATGTACATATTTATCTATTTGGAAATGTATTTGTTTATTTTATAAATAGATGTATTTTATTTTATATATATGTGTATATTTGTGTGCATATAATGTCTCAACAATATGTATATATTGATACATGTTTCTTGATATATATACGGATATAACATTTGAATATATATTATATAAAATATGAAGGCATGTATGTATATGTATATTTTATGAAACATATATTTGATATGGAGACATATTTTGGTATGTTTACTTATATATATACTAGTAAAGATAAATATACACACACATCTATACATACATACACATGTAGTATATGTAATGAAACATTTCCCAAAGTTAAAATATTTAAAACAAAAAGTATAAAATATAAAAGCATTACAAACACTCGATTTTAGAGAATGCTTGGTCAATATAGGATAGCAGTTAAGATCTCAAGTTTGGGGAAAAAAAAAATTGGAGTCTGCTACTTCCCTCATGTGTGATCTTGGGCAAGTAACTCAACCTCCTTATTCTCGGGTCCTTTTTTAAATCATTAATATAGAAATAAGAAATAATAATAGTGTCCTTTAGTAGTAGAAAAGAAAATAGATTTCAGAGAGGCCAGAATAGGTAAGACAAGAGAGTGCTACATGTCCTATACTGGCCCAAGCATGCTTAAGCTGGGGGAGTGGGAATAAGAAAGAGAATGTTGCAAATTCAAGAGATATCAGGATGTATAAATAGGCGTGAGGTAGAAACTAATTATATAGAGGAGAGAATAAATAATTTCTATGTTCTTTGCATTTTAGACTTGGATTTCTGGATGGAGGACGATGCCATACACTGAGAAAGGAAAGGAAAAACATGTTTTGAGGAGACGATGAATTCAGCTGTGTATCAACATGCATTCTGAGGAACAGCATACAGAGATAACCAATGAGCAACTCCATCTGGAGGGCCAAAGGTTAGGAGAGCAAATAGAGCTAGATTTAGGAATTATCAGCTATAGGTGATAATTTTTAATCAATTCCCAGGCAGAAATACTAAGTAACAAAAGCCATGAATAGGATAGTAGGCAAAACCAACATTTAAAAGACACACTGAACACAGCAAAAAGATTCCAATATAAAGAATGTAAATAACTAAGGCAGAAGAATCAGGAAAGGCAAGGAGCATGGAAGTCAGAGGAAGACTTTCAAGAAGGAAGAAGAAATAAGCAGGTAACAGTAAAATAAGTAATGAAATGATATCCTTGGAATTGACAGAGGAGATTGCTAGCAAACCATGCAAAGTCAATTTTACAAATAGAGGTGGAACCCATTTTGCAGTGGGCAGAGGAAGAAGTATCAGCTGAAAATGTGATAAGTATGATTTCTACTGTAGAACTGTCTTTAAATAATATAAGTATTCTGTAAAGAATGAAAAGCTCTACAATTGTTAAAAGGTGAAGAAGTCCATTATCACATATACAAAAAAACTTCCAAATTTTTTTTGTACCTGGTAAGTAGCTAAGAAAAGCTCAATATTTTTAGTCCTCAAAGACTTACAACAAAAATAATTACATTTTATGAGGTATCAAAACATATAACAAATGTGTTGGTCTTTTTTCCAACAATTCTCATGTGCATCTTTATGAAATTTGATGAAGAAGCTAACAGCTTAGGATTGTTTAAAAATAAGTGATATTCTGGGTCAAATGATACATTATATCACACAAAACTTAATGAAACTTAATGGCATACAAATAAAAATATGCTAAGGTTTGGATATAGGTTATTTGTCCTCACCAAACCTCGTGGTGAAATATTATTCCAACTATGGCTGTTAGGAGATGGGGCCTAGTGGGAGGTGTTTGGGTCATGGAGACAGGTCCCTCATGAATGGCTTGGTGCCCTTATTACTGTAGTAGTAAGTGAGTTCTTGCTCTCCTGAGGCTGGATTGGTTCTCAAGGGAATTGATTAGTTCAGACAAGAGTGAGTTGTCAGAACTCCACGACATCCCTTGAATCTGGTCGCCCTTTACACATCCCCACTCCCCAACTGACCTCCTTTGCATTGTTTTGATGCAGCACAAAACTCCTCCCCAGAATTCAAGCAGATGCTAGAGCCATGCTTCTGGTACAGCCTACAGAACTGTGATCTAAATAAAGCTATTTTCTTTGTAAATTATCCAGCCTCAGGTATTCCTTTAGTGTAACACAAAACAGACTAAGAAAACATATTAATTAGAGGTCAGGCGTGGTGGCTCACGCCTGTAATACCAGTACTTTGGGAGGCTGAGGTGGGCTGATCATGAGGTCAGGAGATCGAGACCATCCTGGCTAACACAGTGAAACCCCATCTCTACTAAAAATACAAAAAAAAAAAAAAAAATTAGCTGGGTGTGGTGGCGGGCATCTGCAGTCCCAGCTATTCAGGAGGCTGGCAGGAGAATGGCGTGAACCTGTGAGGCAGAGCTTGCAGTGAGCTGAGACTGCACCACTGCACTCCAGTCTGGGCGACAGAGCGAGACTCTGTTTCAAAAAATATATAGATATATATAAAAATATATATATATGTATATGAGAATAGGTTTGTCAAAATTTGTCATCCATTGATGATTTTCTGGCAAGGTGGAAGTCCTAGCTTAGGCAACATATGGAGATGTATTTGGAAAGCCTGGGGCAATATTTACCTTCCCTGAATTTAATAGTACATCAAACACTTAAAAAAATTTCACCAATACTTTGAGCATTTGAGTAGGAAGCCTCATTATTGGAATAATATAGAAGCTGAGCAATGTGAACTCACCTAATAGAAACCATTATATAATCTCAATATTATCATTATTAAGCCTGAACATACATCCAGTCACTAAATTCCATAATTTAAATTAACACCTCCACTGAGAAGGTATCCTCATATTTTTCAAACACAAAGTGTTCCTAATCCACATTAAAAGCCAGTGATACAGCTCATGACTACTTCTGAGTTGTGATTAATTTTTGTCACCAACTCCAGATCACAAAAAAGATAGGGTATTAACTTTAATTTATCCTATATTGAAAACTGAGACAAGAGAATGTGAAAGACAGAGCGACATTTACAGTGTAAGTACAAAGACTGCTACATACATACACATATGCACATACATTTGGGCATGGGAATAGGAGGCTGGAAAAACTACTGCTTTTGCAGGCTCTTTCTAAGAGAAAACCATCCATGGTTAAGCAGGTCTAATAACCCAAATGGGTTTGAACCAAGCAGGGAAGATATTAAAATGGGATGATGCTAAATTATTATTAACTTATCAGAAACTTTTTAATAGATCAAGAAATAGTATGACATGAGCATCACAAAGGAACGCAATTTCTGAGGATGAAAAGTATTTTCTAAGAAAGACCAAAAAGCCCCCATACAAATTATCACATTATTAGGTACAAATCTACATTTTACCTCTCCTAAACCTCCAGTCCTCCCCTTGTTCATCCTGATAGTTTGACTGTTGCTTGGAAATCTGAGACACTTGATGCTGTAAACCCTTTCGATCATCCTCTGCTTTCGTAAGTTGTGCACGCAGTTCTTCTACCTAAACACATCGTCAAAAATCAAACATTAGTTTTCACAATCAGAAAAAGACCTACTTCAAATGGGCTATTGTAAACACAAGTTGAATCCAGGTTAATCTCCTTCCAAGCATAGTGGAATGGTTTCCTGCTCCATTTCCTCATTCCTCTCATTTATTCCACAAAGAATAAATGCATGGTTTTTCCTTCTCTGTGTCCATTGCGGCAAAGAATGTGATCGGATTTTTTTTTAATCACTTATTTTGTCCTCAGTCTACTCCATTACTATTAACCCAAATCAACTTCAATTAAGTGTTATACATTTTTATATTTTTCTATTTTCACCCATTTGCTTTCATGTGAACATGGTCTATTGGTTGTTAAATTCAAGATAAATGATCATGATTTAGTATATTTTGATATTAAAATAATGCTCAAAATAAGTATGTAATAGATGCTGTTGAATAAACTCTAAACTCCTTGAAGTCAGAAACTGATTTATCTTTCTATCCTTAGGCTGCCAAATTACCTAGCACATAGCAGGTACTTCCAAATGACCATTAAACAAGTTAACAGTGACAAAAAGATTCAGCTAAAATCACAATGACAACCTAAACAAAGAAATATCTTGCTTCCATAACTGAAACTGGAGATTATAAGTCAGAGTTCCAAACAAATCAGAATGGAATTAAATACTAATATAAAATTCTAAAAAGGAAAGTTTGAACTCCACCAAAATTAATTCCATGTGACCACTGGCTGCAGAACAAAGTCAGCGAATATTTTCAAAGATTTTGTAAAACAGGTGCTATCTTGTATTTTCAGCACCAATTGTCAAAATGTAATACTCCTTCTGAACATCTATAATGCTTGACATCTTTGCCTACCCCTAGCATATTCTGAAGGTGAGTTATATAACACACACTTCAAAACAGAAGAAAGTATAATTGCAGTTTGTATTAAACACAGAGAGGCAGTTAGAAACCCATATGCCCTTATCCAATGTATGTAAGATGGTTATTTAAAGTTACTGAACTTTAAACATCAGAAGTGCCAAACTCCCATTATGGGCTGATGGAATGCAAAATGTTATACTTAATAATTAAGCCTTATCGGCCAGGTGTGATGGCTCACACCTATAATCCCAGCACTTTGGGAGGCCGAGGCAGGGGATCACAAGGTCAGGAAATGGAGACCATCCTGGCCAACATGGTGAAATCCTGTCACTACTAAAAAAAACAAAACATTAGCCAGGTGTGGTGGCGCATGCCTGTAATCCCAGCTACCGGGAGGCTGAGGCAGGAGAATCACTTGAGCCCAGGAGGCGGAGGTTGTGGTGAACCGAGATTGCGCCACTGCAGTCCAGCCTGGCAACAGAATGAGACTGCATCTCAAAAAAAATAAAACAAAATAAGCCTTATCTTTGGTTTAAAAGGGTCAAGCAGCATCTTGAAAACATGAATTAAAGACAATAATGTTATTCAAAGTAACATAAACATGCAAAGGTCTGTTTTATGTAGTTTACTTCTTCCTTTACTTCCCAATGCCTCTTGGAATAAAATTAAGCTCCTGGGAAAATTTTATCTTATACATTCAGTCTTACTTTTACACAGCTCATGCTAAGAGAGATAAGTAGTAAGTTGTAGCAGCAATCAGCAAGATACACCAACACAGTGGGGACTTTGGCTGATGTTTGTACTAGCTTTCTGTGAATTTCCCTGAAAGAATTTTATCTTTTGCTTAGTGTGCTAATATACATTCCTTAGGAACACATTTTTTTCTAGATCTAGTTTTTTTTTTTTTTCCCTTTCACAAAGACATTTAAATAGAGCTACTCAATCCTGATTTAATGTAAAAGTATATTATAATAACTTGCACAGACTTACCTGATGCAAAAGTGTTTCTCGGCTGCCTTCAGATTGATTCAATAACTTTCGAGATAGCTCCAATTCCTGTTCAAGCTAGAGTTTCAACAAAGGATAAATAAAAATGTCCAATGGAACAGAAGATAACTAAATTATTACGGGCACAGTTTAAAAGGATAAAAGTGGAAAAGTTTTCAGAAGACATTTACAGCTAAAATAAAATAATAAATCTCTCACTATGAACATATATCAATATTTCCATTAAAATAATGTTAATCCTATAACATGAAGTGAACTAGACCAGGCCTCAGGAAGTCAGGATCTAGTACGTTTCATCTCAACTGTGGGTCAGTCCCAGTCTCTTCTCCTTAGGCCTCCGTTCTGTCATCTCTAAAATAAAAATTTTATATTAAACAGTCTCTGAGATCCCTTCCAGTTCTAAATCACTTTAATCTAAATTCTAAGGCAATTTTTTTCTTTAAATTAGAAATGTAGTGTCACATTAACTAAATTAGAATAAAAACGGCAGGGACCCAATAACTCAAAAGTTTCATCTAATTGGTGATTTCCTACATTCCTAATATTTCTAATATTCATAAGACATTCCTTAAATTTTTAAATGTCTAAATTCAGAATAAGACATTTAAAATTTCCTTAATGATACTGCCACGAGATAAATATCGATAAAAAACGTGACCAGTTCAGGAGATTGAGACCATCCTGGCTAACATGGTGAAAACCCACCTCTACTAAAAATACAAAAAATTAGCCAGGCGCAGTGGCGGGCGCCTGTAATCCCAGCTACTCGGGAGGCTGAGGCAGGAGAATGGCGTGAACCCGGGAGGCAGAGCTTGCAGTGAGTCAAGATCGCGCCACTGCACTCCAGCCTGGGCAACAGAGCGAGACTCCGTCTCAAAAAAAAAAAAAAAAAAAGTGACCAGTTAAGTGACTAAATATTCTACAAACTCCTAACATGCCTAGATGATTTCAAGCTGAAATATGTAATAGGATAGAACACAAGTTTCTTAAAAATTTAGACCTTATAAGTGCTAGACTTATTTGCATTTTGTAACAGTAAGGTAGTTTTATAAAAATCGCACATTTATATTAAGACGCTCGTAAGTGCTTAGATTTGTAGTACTTATTCTAAATTATCATTTCAATTGAACAACTGCTATCTGTATATTAATCCTTTAATAATTGCACATGTGGTAGGTGTGCTTATGAAAGAACATGAGAGAGCCTTGTGGTGATGGAACAGTTCTGTATCCTGATGGTGGTAGTGGTAACAAGAATCTATACAAGATAAAAATGGATTGAACTTCACACACACACACATACACACACACACAAACACACAAAACACAAATGAGCATATATAAAGCTGGTGAAATCTGTATAAACTAAGTAGATTGCACCAACAATTTCCTGGTTTTGATATTGAATGGCAATTATGCAAAATGTTACCACTGAGGGAAACTGGGTGCATGGGACCTCTCTGTGCATCTTGTTTTACAATATCCTATAAATCTATAATTATTTCAAAATATATCTTTAAATCTCAGTATATAATTTTTTAAAAATTATACATGTGGCTCATAAAACAAATGTCATATTGTTAAAAAAGTAAAGTATATGTGGGGATCACAGAATCCACCATAAAATACTGTCTAACCTATTCTTTAGTCTCTATGGAGAAACAGAGTGAAGAAATCATAATTGAAGCAAAATGACTTTGAAATCAACCAAAGCCCATATTGGTCATAATCCCTGTGTAATTTCAACATCACAACTCCCAAAGGGCAAATTTGATGACCTAACATACTTCGCTTACCCTGAAAGCAGCAGGGAAGCTGCCTTTACATGAGTTGGTGAAATAAAATAAAGGAGGCAATGGTAGGTAGAAAAAAGCAATACGGAGTAAAGAACAGAGCAAATTTTCACTTCATCTTCCATTACTTTGAGCTCATCCTTAAATCTACTTATTCACAAATTAAGGAAGAGTTGTTTGGCCTCTGAATTCCTTTCTAACTCTAAAGTGCTGAGCTCTATGTGCTCATAGATATGAACACACAGTTCATAAACATGAACATAGGTCAAAGGTCGTTGATATTTAATTTAATTGAATAGAAATAGAGAATGCTTTCAGAACTGGGCTTCTTACTCTATCTGTCCACTATAATGAAAATGAATAGAACCAAAATATTCAGTCTCCATATGACAGGTCTTTTCTAACCCTGCAACAAAGTCAAGTTCTTTAAATGTTTCCAACAAGAAAAGGTAAAGTTTAATTCACCTCTCAGAAGGCAGAGTGGTCATAGATGACAAGGTAGCAAACAACTTGCTTGTCTGTTTCCAAGAGTAAGTCCTAGCAAGCAGAAGAGCTGTTGAACCAATTGACTCCACATAGAAAGATAAAGAATTCACAGTGTTCTAAAGCATCCTGGGGACACTTTTCAAGGCACTCAACAAATACCATTGGCCCCAAACCACTCTATTCTTTGAAAGACAACTTTTAAAATCTTACTTGATTCTTCTCGGTTTCAGTTTGTATTAGCTTATTTTTTATTGCCCCCTCATGCTCATCTGCTTTAGCTTCTTGTTTCTTTAGTGCCTAGAATGAAAGAGGTGGGAAAAAAAAATTATTCCAAAATACGTACAAAACTGAAAGTCACTACTAGAATTTATTATGTATTAGGGCTGAGGAAGACACGGATATAAGTTACACAAAATCTATAAATTACAACCTGCTCATTCACTGTAACCCTAAGAACGCTTCAGTGGGGACAAAATACAAACAATAAGCAATTCATGATCATCCTAATTAATATTTACTTCATTTCCTTTTTTTCCCCATCTTTGGGAATTTTATTACATTATTTAGAGGGCCTAGATAGCTAACAGTTTTCTTGGAAACAAATATTCTTTTCTACAGTTTCCCCTCTTTAATAAAATGAGGAAAAAGAACTTTAAGAAAATACACATTTCAAAAGTTAACTATAAAAGTGTTTGCTTTGGTTTGTTTCTACGTTAAAACAAAATTAAACTTAAAGGGGAAAATTATACTTGGAACTGTCTTTCATCATATCCGAAATGCATTCCATTCGCTTAAAAAATATTTTTAACAATTTTACTGTTTAGACTTAGCAAGGTGTACGTGTAAAGTCCATATGACTAGTGAAAAGCCAAGCCGCCAGAAGCTTTCCCAACAAGATCAACAGAAAACCAATTTTTAGGCAAACAGCAAAATATGTTAAAAAGTGCTTTGATGCAAGTATACTCAATCAATTTCAGCTCCCTCTGCCATAATTCCTACTCTCAAACAGAAATGGAGTAATGAGGCAGAGAAGCATCAACAAAATGAAAAATAATTTTGATTTGAGAATAACAATATTATCACACTTTTACAGTGCTTAGTATGTCCAGGCATTCTTCTTCTCCTTACATATAATAAACAAATATATTACATATATTCAAAATATACATTTACTCCTCATGATGATTCTATGAATTATTATTATTCCAAGCCCATTTTATTAAAGGGGAAACTGGAGCACAAGGAGTTGAATCATTTGCCTAACGTCACTCACCTACTTAGTGACAGAGACAGGACACAGATTATGGCTGCCTGCCTCTTAACAACTGAGTATACTGCTTCTTCATATTGATATAATAATACAAAACTTAAAGGGTAATGATGAAAACTCAATGGTTTGATATCTGTAGAGCACATAAAGCAATGTCTGGCTCCCAGCAAATGTGCAATAAAATGCAACTATTATTATTGGTAACAATAATAGACTGGGTAACAGAGTGAGAGCCTCAAAAAAAATTAAATAAAAAAAATCAAAACTTCTATATTTAAGTTGGTTGAATAAAAGAAACTCTAATTCTCTTGGATACTTAGAAATTTGTGAAAATAATATTGTGCTACTCCTTTCTTCCTTACTTTCCCCTTACAACATCTAATAAGTTATTTATCATATTGATTTTCCAAAATAATGTACTTTTCTATTATAGCTCTACTTGCTGCCTAAAACTGTATTTAATAGTCTCCTTTTTTCAATTTCTCCTTTTACTCTAAGTATATATAAGTCTTGAAAAAATTTTGTGAATGATAACTTAAATTCTATTGTTTTCAATAAGGAGCAAAAGTGAGATACTAAGGAACAATCCAAAGTAAATTACTACATTTCCACTATATCATCTAGAAATGCCATTAAGTTTGAACACTAGCTCTGCTTTCTATATACCATGAGTCAGTAAACAAGTAAACACAAATGCAATACTCTAGCCTAGAATATTGAATCGGTTTTTCTACATTATCTAGTTTAAAATGAAAGACAAGGAAAAGCTAACACTTAAGGCCCATTAAATATATATTGATGCACCTGTAAACACTGAAAACACAAGCAATACTCAAAGAGAGAAATTTTTAAATTAACCAAATCAAAATTACAAGCCATTTTGTTAAACCTTAATAATAAACGTTAACTAATTTACTACCTTTTTTTAAGGGTGTAAGCCTGCATTGGATTTCTTTTCCATTTGACTTAAATCAAGCAACTTAGAATTATATTAAAACTGACCCAGTAAAAGCAGTTATAAAAGAAGAAAAAAAATTCACATGTCAATGAATTTCAGTAATTACATTATTTTGTTCTTTAAAGCTTGTTTGTTTCCTAAGAGTAGTTTAGCTAAAAGCTATCATGTGCCCTGCTCCAGGATTTAGATTGTCTTTTACATGTTTAAGATCACAGCAACAACACTGAGCCTTAATAGAGGGTCCCCGGGGCACATTTAAATCTTTAATAACAACAATTTTTCTTCTTTCCCTTAAGTGTGTCGTATCATGTATTGTACTACTGCATTTCCTTAGAAGTAGGTGATTCTAAACTCTCATAGTTATATATAGTAAAAAAAAAAAAAAAAAAAAAAAAAAAAAAAAAAAAAAAGGTAGCTTTTCCTTTTAGAGAGTAGTAAAAAGGGGAAAAGAAAAATGTTTGTAGACCTCTCACTTAACCATAAAAATCTCTACCACATTGACAACAAGCATGTTTATCAAGAGGCTCTAACAGACAACACACTCCAAGATGTAGAACAAATAGGGAATTAAAGGCCCTTTGTCTGCTTTAAATGGACCAGCAAGCTTGGTTAAGAATGATGGCATGGGAATGAAATAAAAATCACATGTTAATTCCCATACAGGCCAATGAAATTTCCGGAGAAAAATTATAAACATAACCTATCCCAACTTATCCTAATCACTCAGCAGTGCTACAATTGCACGCCTTTGGTCACAGGGGCAAGAACTTGTAGATCATTTACTGGTAAACTAACAACACTACAGAAAAACAAGTATGTGCTCATATTAAACAGTCAACATCATTTACTTGAAGGTACAAATTATCAAATCAGATTTTTTTCCAGTAACAATAAAAAATGAAGAAGTTATATCACTAAACACTAGAAAATCATTGTTCTTACTATATTTTGTAATTAAACTCTTCACATGGGTAGAAAATAAAAGCCAGTGGACAAATATTTTAAGCTTAACAGAATATAATGCGATTCCAATCCAAATTAGACCACATGAGCTATAAACTGAAGTTATATGTTGTTTATATTTATGTATATTAAAATTTTGAGGTAGTGTTAAGGACACTTTCAATCAAGCAAAAACTCCACTAACTCTAGTACTGAGTATGTATAAAACACTATCATGGAAACTTTATTTAATTAAAATTCTTTTTAAGATGGAAATCTGATGTCTATCTCAAAAATTCTTTTTGGACTTTGCCTAAACACAGGTCCAAAGGCATCAAACATTAATAAAATAATACATATATTTAAAAGGACTCTATATGCATTATACAGCAGGATTTTATTGCTCAGAACATGTACTACTCATTTATATTAACACATACTTTTTTTGTCCTGTTCTTTGAATTTCTAAATTATGCTTTTTCCCAAATCAAGTTAGAGATTCCTCCCCCATGAGAACTAGCTAAAGTAATGGAAAATTTTAGCCTTTAAGTTCATCCAGTTGGGGATTATCTGTGCCAACAAAAACCAAAACAAAAAAAATTAAGTTTCTTTTCAAGGCAAAAAAAAAAAAAAAAAAAACAATGCATTCATATTCTAAATCCCTGAACCAATATCTAATTTAAAAATAGCTAAGTGGATATTACTTAAATTGTTCAAAGAAATTTATTTTTCAACCATGACCAAGGAAAGGAAATTCTACAACAACTACAACTAAAAAAATAAAAAATAAAACAAACCACACACACCACACACTTTGGTAGGTGAAAAGTAGAAATGCTTGATAGAAGTCCAAAAGGAATTCAATACTGATACTATTATGATACCACACAAACTTAAGGGATATCAAAGTAAGGGAGAAATTCAAAACACTTGGTACGAACTGAACTGTGTGTATTTTCCAGATGGAAATGGTAAGCACATAAGTCACAAAATACAATTCCTCTTTTTCAAAGGGTAATATCCAATATCATGTAGTTAAGTAGGATAGATCATAAGTTAAATACTATTTCTAATAGTAATAGTAATCCTTAATAACATTCCTTAAAGATACCTGTGGTATTTAAACATAACGCTCAAGGTTTTATTTTAAGAATGGCCTAGATTTTTTTTTTTCTCTTCTAATAAGATGTTAATTATTTCAAGAATCCCAAAAATACACAAAGGGTCTTATAGGAATTATCTTGGTGGAAGAGATGGATGCTTTTTACTGACCTATTTTCCCCAGTGAACAAACAAACTTCTTGGTTCCACTATGCCCATACCTACGGAATCTACCACTGTTTAGGGCACCCAGTGTCAACAAACCCAAACAAGGTCAAGGGTTCAGTCACGAATTCCCTTTGCTCTGTTTCGTGGACACAATCTTTACCCTAAACCTAGCCAAGGGCCCCACAGAAGGCTAACTAGACCAGAGATTATGAATGAATCTGCAAAAATTCAATACCATGACTACAATAATAACTCAAAGATAAAACCCCTGTTGACTAGTGTCAGGATTTCATTCTTCAAATATTGTAAATTTGCCAATCTGCAAAACAAAACCTTAATTACTTCATAAAAAAGCCAGTATGCTAAAAAGACATACAAGTCTTTTAACTTCTTTAATTCAAAAGCAACAATGGTAATGAGTATTATTCCCTAACATGCCATTGCTTTTACTGGAACAGATTATATTTTTATGCAATCTTTAACTTCATAAAAATCTTGCAAGTAAAGTTAAATGTGAGCCCAACAAGTGCACTTTCCAGGATTTCCTTCAAAATCAAAAAACAAATGCTCCTAGTAGAAGGTCTGTTTTTATCTGAGTAGTTTGCTCTCAAAAAGAGATGCATAGTTTTATTAGAAATCCACAGTAACATAATACTTCATTTGACTTTCTAAATGCAGGACCACTGAGTTAGGATTGTTGACAAATAGAAGATCATAGATAATTATGGAAATTTAATTTAGAATTTCTCAAGTTGTATATCTTTGAACAGAAAGCTCTGTAAATATACAACATCTTTCAGTGTCCAGAGTTAGAGGATGTTATTTTATGCCTTTGGATTTAGGAGGATTTTTTTGTTT